GGTCAGACTCTGTCACGCTATCGTGCATTTACAGATTTAATACCATTCATTTATACGTGTACTAACGTGCATTGAATTTATCGTTATCGTGCATTATGTACTGAGAATAAGAATCTGCAAAACCCCGACCAAAAAAAAAAAAATAAAAAAATCAAAACTGGTTGCGGTAAAAATTTTGTTTTCTTTTTATGTCGGATTGATTACACATTTTTAATTTTAGGTTTTCAGTTATTTCGGTTTGAAATAGTAAAATAATATAAAATATTAAAATACTATATATGCTAGTGACTATAAGATTACAATCTGTTACGTTATATTGTATTTACAAATTACACAATTAATAATGTGCGTTTTAGTTTACGCTATTGTGGATTATGAAGTGCGAGTAGGGTTGTACAAGACCCGGCAATAATCGAAAAAATAGACCGGAACTGACTTCGATAAAAATTTTGGTTTGTTTGTATTTTCTTTTATATATCGGTTATATTGTCGATATTTACTTTTCTGTTCATTTTGGTAAGTTTGTTAACTTTTAAATATGTAGGAGGTAACAATGCCATAATTTCGTAATAATATGACGTTTTTCTTAATGTGCTTGTTCTTATTCTGAAGTGAATAAGTTTCACCCGGGCTCCTTCAACTCGAACCGGCCTCCGTACCTGCAGAACCCAACGCCGGGGCGGCCCCGGCGTCGGGCCTCCGATGCCTAAGTCAATGCTCAGATTAAGAGAGATAAAGTGTGTAGTCCATGAATGAGAAGAGGATGAGAGTGAGATACCTTGGCCCCCCTTTTATAGGGGGGAGTGTACCTTTTGGGCCCAAGTTGGGCTTGACCCCTATCGTTGGGCTTAGATGTCTTAAAGGGCTTATCCTCCAATATGTATCCGCTTTATCTATTACACCGGGTCCAGTATAATATCCTATATCATCTAGTCCCCCCCACTCTGATCGAGTAAGCATGACTCGATCCAAGAGTGAGAATTCCTCTTCGGATTGTTTCCGCCATCCTGCCACTGTGGTTACCATTAAATAAATCCTCGACCACCAAATAGTTATCAATTCTCCAAATGAGCAGCGAGACCCCAAATGAATACCGAATGACCCCTAATATCAAAAATCGAGTGACCCACCACTAGGGCCAAACACCGATAATCGAGAGACCGTTGAGGTCGAAAACCAAAAACCCAGAATCGAGAGACCTGCCTCTGAGGTCGAACGCCAAGAATCGAGAGACCGTTGAGGTCGAAAACCGAAAACCCAGAATCGAGAGACCTGCCTCTGAGGTCGAACGCCAAGAATCGAGAGACCCACCTCTGAGGTCGAACGCTGAAAACCCAGAATCGAGAGACCTGCCTATGAGGTCGAATGCCGAGAATCGAGAGACCCACCTCTGAGGTCGAATGCTGAAAACCCAGAATCGAGAGACCTGCCTCTGAGGTCGAATGCCGAGAATCGATAGACCGTTGAGGTCGAAAACCAAAAACCCAGAATCGAGAGAC